TAAGTAGTGGGAAAGAGTGTAGAACCAATGCTCTAAAAAATAAAGCATCCTAATCATCGTAATCCTGTCTTCCTGCTGCTGGAAAACCACCTGAGGAATCATCGTGCTGCTGCCTTATCAGTGACATAGCTTACCGGGATATGGAAATTTTCATGTGAGTAGAGTGATTTTAGCAGCTAACTTTGTTTAAAAAGTTTTACTATCCTTTTTGACAAATCTTCAATAATAAATAAATTTTGTAAAGGTGGGTAACGGTTAGAAAGGGAAATCCCTGTATCCACTTAACACTTAACTGACTTAGAAAAACTTACAATATGGACGCACTCTGGAAGCTCTTCTCGTACTGCGACCGGGCATTCTCGGAGGGAATTTCAGTCTCGGGTTGACGAACTGACAAACAGGTTAGCAAGGATCGAATCACCAGTTCGTGTTACCCAATACGAACCGGTGACTATTCAACCCGGAATACCATGTGACGAATCCTTGGACCTTGTGAAAACCTTGCCGGAATCCAAAGGCGACGCGACCCGTTATGTGTCTTGGAGACAAGCAGCTCATACTGCTTATAGAGTGTTCGAAGCGTATCACGGTAGCTGAAGACACTACCAAGTGGTAGGCATAATCCGAAATAAAGTAGTAGGAGCCGCAGATAGTGTTTTATCCTCTTTCAATACAGTCTTAAATTTTCACGCTATCATTTCTCGACTAGACTTTGCCTATGCGGACAAAAGACCAATTTACTTAATTGAACAGGAGTTATCGACCCTTAGACAAGGAAAATCATCAGTAGTGGAGTTCTATGATGCAGTGGAGAGAAAGTTGACTCTGATAGTCAATAAAACAGTCATCACTCACGGTGAGAACACCACGCTGATAGGATCACTTAATAAGAAATATCGGGATGATGCACTTCGCGTGCTCATCTCGGGACTCAATCACCCTTTGTGTGATGTTCTCTCCTCCTCTAGACCCGCTGATCTGCCGTCAGCACTTGCCCTAGCGCAGGAACTGGAAGCGAACCAAGCCAGATCAATGTTTGCAAGTTCCTTTAACAGACAGGCATCCCATAACTTAGATCTTTATTATTATTCACCCCAATACCGTAGAATACCTCAAGACCAACGAGGACAAACTCGAACTCAGCAAACTCCAGTACCAAGGGATATAGATCCGTCGTACTCCCGCTTCAGACAAAACAGACCCCAACAACGCCACGGAAATGGCGATAGGTATCATAATCAAGGAGCTTACCCTAAGGTAACTTGTCCGGCTAACAGTAACACGGGCGGCATATTCAATCGCCATCAGCCCTGAATAAAGAAAAAGCTGAAAAAAGACAGCATGGAAGTGAACAGCTGCCAATACAAAAGGTACAGCGTATCAACAATATCACCCAAGACCAATACGAACCGGAAGGTGAATACTGGAGTGATACCGGGTATGATGACTATTATCAGGACACGGAACCTAAGAGTGCTGAATATGACCTGGACGGACCGAAAGACGACTTTAATTTTTTAGGACTAAGTCCCTCTTGCCCTATGTCGAAAGGACACTTGGGCGAAGAGGAATAACATTTTTAATCGACACCGGCGCTGCAAAGAGCTATGTAAAACACCTTAACGCTCTAAAGGGAATAAAACCTGTGAATAACCCTTCCACTGTCAAATCCATCCACGGTACCGATATAATTAACAAAAAATGTACAATAAATATATTAAATAAGAATTTTAAATTCTTTTTCTTACCCAGTTTGAAGACCTTTGACGGCATTCTAGGATTCGACTTATTAAAAGAGGTAAATGGTAGTATTGACCTAAAGAGTGGTACGTTGAGTTATGATGGTGGAAAGGAAAAACTCTTGTACTACTACTGCTCGGACGTTAGAAACTAAATCGGAAACAAGCAAGGGCAATATTGATATCTCTACATAGCTAAAGCATCATGCTAAAGTTTTCGCTGATCCAGATGAAGCGCTGCCCTACAATACCAGCATTGTAGGTACGATAAGGACCGTGGACGATTTACCCGTCTGCTCGAAAAGTTACCCGTACCCCATTGCTTCTGCGGAATTTGTCAATAAGGAGATATCAGATCTGTTGCGTGACGGAATCATTAGACCATCCCGTTCTCCTTATAACAATCCAATTCGGGTTGTAGATAAGAAAGGTTTAGACGAAAAAGGGAACAAGAGATCACGACTCGTAATTGACTTCAGGAAGCTAAACACCAAGACAATAAGTGATAAATACCCAATACCGGACACTTTTTTCTCCACAATAGACCTCAAATCAGGATTTCNCCCGACTTTAATTTTTTAGGACTAAGTCCCTCTTGCCCTATGTCGAAAGGACACTTGGGCGAAGAGGAATAACATTTTTAATCGACACCGGCGCTGCAAAGAGCTATGTAAAACACCTTAACGCTCTAAAGGGAATAAAACCTGTGAATAACCCTTCCACTGTCAAATCCATCCACGGTACCGATATAATTAACAAAAAATGTACAATAAATATATTAAATAAGAATTTTAAATTCTTTTTCTTACCCAGTTTGAAGACCTTTGACGGCATTCTAGGATTCGACTTATTAAAAGAGGTAAATGGTAGTATTGACCTAAAGAGTGGTACGTTGAGTTATGATGGTGGAAAGGAAAAACTCTTGTACTACTACTGCTCGGACGTTAGAAACTAAATCGGAAACAAGCAAGGGCAATATTGATATCTCTACATAGCTAAAGCATCATGCTAAAGTTTTCGCTGATCCAGATGAAGCGCTGCCCTACAATACCAGCATTGTAGGTACGATAAGGACCGTGGACGATTTACCCGTCTACTCGAAAAGTTACCCGNGACCATCCCGTTCTCCTTATAACAATCCAATTCGGGTTGTAGATAAGAAAGGTTTAGACGAAAAAGGGAACAAGAGATCACGACTCGTAATTGACTTCAGGAAGCTAAACACCAAGACAATAAGTGATAAATACCCAATACCGGACACTTTTTTCTCCACAATAGACCTCAAATCAGGATTTCACCAAATCAAACTCGCAGGAAAGGATAGAGAGAAAACGACTTTCTCGGTCAACAACGGAAAGTACGAGTTTTGTAGGCTCCATTTTGGTCTAAAAAATGCTCCTAGCATTTTCCAGAGAGCCATTGATGATGTCCTTAGGGATGAATTGGGAAAACTAAACACATTTTCCATCTTCTCTTCAAATCTTCATCACTTTTTGTTGAACTTTTTGCAATTGAAGAAGCAGTTAAAAACTTCTAGTTTTCACTGGCTGCTGCAGCTCCTGTCAAATCCTCAAGCAACGCAGTAGGAAATGACATTACCAAATTACTCGTATAACAAAACTTCATTCTCATTCTCATTTTTAGTTCTTAGCGAGTGTGGGTCCCACCCACCTGACTAACGTAGAATTCGGGGTCATTCAAGTTCTGATGTCGACAGCGATGTTGATAGTGAACTCAGTGAACCTAGACAAGAAGATTCTAGTCAGGAGAATGGCGTTGCAAGTGCTTCCGACAGTGAAATTAGTGGTGAATATGATAGTGAAAGTAAGCAGGAAAATACAAAGCTAATACCATCGTTTCCATTAAATGAATCTTGGGGTATTCGTGGCGAAATAAATAGTGACGCTTCCCCACTAATTATATTTCAAATTTTCTTTGATGAAGACGAGTAAAGCTTATGCGAAAAAATTGGAGAATTATTACACCAAACCATCGGCAAGAAAGCGACCTAAAATTAATTTTACTGAAACGTCATACGATTAAATGCTGCCGTTTCTGGTCTTACGCTTGCTACAAGGCCAGAACAAAAACCATCCATTAAGTCCACGCATCATATGAACAAGATTATCGAGGAAGAAAACTAGAGAAAATAATGCCACAACGTCATTTAGTTAAAAAAAAAAATTTGAGAACACGTTTGCCCCAGGTAGGCCCAGGGCAGGAATTGATCGATCCGAATAATTATTATCATATTATTACCGTGCCATAAAAACAATAAGATGGTATAAAAAGGTCCTACTTGTAAGATTGCAAATAAAAGAAAATGTAAAATGTACACTGTGGCAGCCCTGTTGCTTATGGCAGCACTGAACGCTGAACAATAACAAATTGACAAAAGAATAAAGAAAATAAAGAAGAAAGGAAGATACTTCACTTCCGGTTTTGATATAAAGCGAACAACGTTGTTTTCTCTAGCGAAAAAATATAATCTTCAGCCATCACTAAACATACCAGGAAATCTTATAGTTTATAACATCAGGTGTGAGCTCAAGACCAGACTACAATTAAATCAAATTATATTTCACAAGTTCTGACATTATGGCCGATATTCGAGGCGAAATAATCAAATCGCTCACCGAGTTGGGCGTGGATTTTCCTCATACAGCCACAATCGGCCAATTGCGCCGTCTTTTAAGGGATGTGGTCGGAGATGGGGCAAGCAATATATCCATCACCACCGATTCAACCGAAATTGCCTCCCAGGCAGATACTGCCGCTGCTGCCGAAATCACCGAAATGGTCACTACTTCTGCCGTTGTAAACGCTATTACAACCCCTATTTCTACTGCCGTTGCCGATACTATTACCACCGCTGCTACTGCCGTCACCGCCGCCACCAATACTATTGCCACCACCACTGCCGCTAACGCTGCTGCCGTTACCAATATCATTGCCGTCACCACCGCCGCTAACGCCACTGCCGTCACCAATGCCTCTGCCGTCACCACTGCCGCTGCCGTCGCCACTGCCGCTGCCGTCACCACTGCCACTACCGTTGCTGCTGTCTCCGATACCACTGCCGCTACTGCCTCATTTGTAGATACCGCCGTTGACACTAACTACAATAATAATACGATTGACCTTGCCGCCAATCCCGGTGCCACGGGTATAAACAATATCGATAACGAACTAACTGCATTACGTAAAAGAGTTGAAATGTTGCGGCTAATGAAGGAAATCAACGATTTGGGAGCAGTGCTGGCTCATCACAACAACAACGACGATTAGATTATGGAGATATTGAGCACGCACTCCCAAAATTTAGCGGAGATGACATCTCAATGTCCATCACGGATTTTATTCGAGATTTTGAGGAGGTTACTGAGGCGTCAGGGGCAGACGATCGTTTCAGATTGGTAGCACTCCGCCGTTGTTTGACCGGTACAGCTAAAGTTTTCTTATCATCTACAACAGCTCTAAATTATGGAGCACTTAAAAAAGCTCTAGAGATGGAGTTTAGTGTACCAGTCACCAGAAATGAAGTTTATAAAATGTTAGCACAACGGCGCTGGGACAAGAAAAAAGAATCATTGCACTGCTATGTACTAGCTATGCAGGCCATAGCAAAGCGGGCAAAGGTGGAAGAACAAGAGGTAATCGAGTTTGTAATCGATGGAATAAGGAACATTGTGCCCAATGCACACTTGCTGCTACCTGCCAGGACCCTTGCCGAACTAAAAACATTAATTCAAAGGTATGAGAGGAAATATTTGGTGAGCGACGTGTTGGCCACAACAAGACGCCGGCAAGCTACAAAGACGGTCGAGGACGCCAAACAAAAATGTTACAACTGCTCGAGAGATGGGCATATCAAGCCCAACTGCCCTTACCCATTAAGACCAGACGGGTCCTGCTTTCGTTGTTGGCGAATGGGCCATGACCATCGCTCATGCCCGAATCCAGCAAAAATCCTCAAACCAAAAACGCAGGTTGCATCAGTAATGGAAGGCGGAGACGATGAGTCTTACGATGTAAATACATATAACTTTGTGAGTATTATATTCAAGCTAGAGTCAAAGATTTTTTCTGTAGAAGTTTTTTCTTTATTTGATACCGGTAGTCCGGTTAGTTTTATTGATGGTCACGGGTCCCAAAACAACTGGTCGAGTACAAGAATTTTCAAAATACGAACACGCCCAAATACAAAGGAATTGGGGGCAATCAAATAAATATTATTTCAAAAATTAAATGCCTTGTAAAATTTAATAACAGAATTAATAAAATTGAATTAAATGTTATATCAGATGAAGATATGGTAGTACCTGTTATTATGGGACGTGACTTTCTGCACAAATTTCATATTAGACTTAAGTACGCTAAGAAAGGATATACAAAATCCAAATTATTAGAAATATGAAGAAATATGAAGACATATATGATTGACGAACAAAAAATTGTAACTGATTCCGAAACATTCTCGGCCATTGTAAAATTACAACCGAAACAAAAAGTTAATGTAAATCCTTCTGATTTAACTGCAGAGTTTTGCACCAACGTAGATAAAAATATTGATGTTAATCCCGAAGACTTAATTGCCGGTTTTCGCACCAATGTAGATTCAAATATTAATGTAAATCCTGATAATTTAATAATAATTTAACTGCCGAGTTTTGCACTAATGTAGATACAAATAGTAATGTCGATCCCGATGGTTTAACTGCCGCTTGTGTACCTGACATTTTTTGTATTGACGTTTCTTATAACCAGGACGATATAGATATAGATTGTATACTCACTAATGGACAACGCAATAGATTAAAAAAGGTTATTTATGACACTTACTTCAAATCTAATATTAAACCTGAACCCCTCGAGTACGAAATGAAGATTCATTTAACAACTGACGTTCCCTTTCATCATGCCCCCCGCCGCTTATCTTATGCAGAACGTAACGAAGTACAAACAATTATAGACGAACTGTTAAAAGAACAAATAATTCAACCAAGCGACTCACCCTATGCTTCAGCTATTGTATTAGTAAAGAAGAAGAACGGTAAAACACGTATGTGTGTAGACTATCGGGCCCTGAACAAATTGACGGTTAGGGATAATTACCCACTGCCATTAATTGAAGACTGCATTGAGTACCTACAAAACAAACGTTTTTTTTTCTGTGTTAGATTTTAAGAGTGGTTTTCATCAAGTCAACATGTCGCCAAATTCAATACCGTTTACTGCCTTTGTAACCCCAAACGGGCAATTTGAGTATTTGAAAATGCCTTTCGGGTTAAAAAATGCGCCCGCGGTGTTCCAACGGTTCATTAATATTATATTTCGAGACATGTTGAATGAGAGGAAGATCATTATTTATATGGACGACATAATTATTGCTACTGAGAACTTTGAAGATCATGTTGTATTGTTAAAAACGGTGTTAGATCGGATTACTTTACGTAACTTGAAGCTTAACTTGAAAAAATGCAAATTTGCATTTCAAGAAATTGATTACTTGGGATATAAGGTAACTCGTTCGGGGATAGCACCTAATGATTCTCATATCAGAAGTATCAAGAACTTTCCAACTCCTACGAATCCGAAACAACTGCAGTCGTGTCTGGGGTTATTCTCCTACTTCAGAAGATTCGTACCTTCGTTCTCACGAATTGCCAAACCCTTGCAAGATCTATTAAAAAGAAATGTCCAATTTAATTTTGACGAAAAATGCAAAGACGCTTTCTCCGAATTAAAGTCCAGACTAGTTAAAAGCCCAGTCCTAGCCATTTACAGCCCGGAAAAGGTAACTGAGCTACACTGTGATGCTAGTAGTATTGGATTTGGGGCGGTATTGTTACAACGCCAGGAGGACGGCAAAATGCATCCCATTTCTTATTTCTCTAAAACTGCTTCAAGTCCTGAGAGTAAATACCACAGCTTTGAGCTAGAAACCTTATCTATAATATATGCATTAAGAAGGTTTCGCACCTACCTAGAAGGCATACCATTCACGATAGTTACAGACTGTAACTCCCTAACCATGACCCTTGATAGAAGACAATTGAATTCTCGAATAGCCAGATGGGCCTTAGAGTTGGAAAATTACAACTACAAGATACAGCATCGAAGAGGTGCGTCAATGGGTCATGTCGATGCATTAAGTAGACGAGAGATAGCTGCTGTTATAGATACTGATGATGTAGAGTTCCGTATTCAGGTCGCTCAAGAGCGTGATCAGAGTATTAGAACCCTGCGGAAAAGACTCGAAAATGAAGAGTTGAATGATTTCGACTTAATCGATGGGTTAATATATAAAAAGAAACCTGACGGTAAGAACGCATTGTATGTGCCGTATGAAATGGAATCTAATGTAATACAGTTGATACACGAAAAATTGGCCCACCTATCTATTGATAAGACGTTGAGTAAACTAAGCCTTTACTATTGGTTCCCAGAGATGCGCACGAAGGTGGAAAAGTTTGTTAGGAACTGTTTAAAGTGCATTATGTATGCCAATCCTCCCCAAGCAAGAGAGAGAAGTCTGTACCCTATCCCTAAGATTCCTTTACCGTTCGATACTATTCACATCGATCATTTCGGACCATTACCATCATTAAAGTCGAAACGAAAGCATATTCTAGTGGTTATAGATGCATTTACCAAATTTGTAAAACTATACCCCACAAACTCCACGAGTACTCGAGAAGTTATCGCAGCCCTAGATAAATACTTTAGCTACTACAGTAGACCGGGACGTGTCATAAGCGACAGGGGGACATTTTACCTCACTACAGTTCACTGAGTTTTTGTTAAAGAAGAATATAAAACATGTAAAAGTAGCGGTTGCATCACCCCAGGCTAACGGACAAGTGGAGAGGGTCAACCGGGTTCTGAAGTCGATGTTGGGAAAATTAACTAATGACCTGAACCACGACGATTGGACTAAAAAACTGACTGAGATTGAATACGCCATAAATAACTCTATCCACAGTACGTGCCGAGATACCCCAAGTCGGTTACTGTTTGGTGTCGAACAACGTGGAATAATAGTGGACGAGTTTACCGAATATTTCCAAGACAAAATTTGTCCAGACGGTAATAGAGACCTAGATCGTATACGCACTAACGCTTCTAATCTTATACTGGCTAAACAGGAATATGATGCTCACAGGTCGACACAAAAGAAGACTTTGCCCAAAACTTACCACGAAGGTGAATACGTCGTTATAAGAAACGTCGATACCAGTCCTGGTACAAACAAAAAGTTGATTCCCGTGTATAAAGGTCCGTACTTAATACATAAGGTGCTCGGTAATGATAGGTACGTGATACGTGATATTGATAACTGCCAGCTAACTCAGTTACCATATGATGGAGTGGTTGAAGCCTACCGAATCAGGAGATGGCAACAAGTACCAGCCCAGAATGTATCGGAATTAGAAAAAAGTGCATCAGAAATTGTTAATAATTTAAGTCAGTCATGATCGGGCCGATCATATTGTCAGGTCGGCCGAGTTGTAAGATTACAAATAAAAGAAAATGTAAAATGTACACTGTGGCAGCACTGAACGCTGAACAATAACAAATTGACAAAAGAATAAAGAAAATAAAGAAGAAAGGAAGATACTTCACTTCCGGTTTTGATATAAAGCGAACAACGTTGTTTTCTCTAGCGAAAAAAATAGAATCTTCAACCATCACTAAACACACCAGGAAATCTTATAGTTTATATACTTCATATCCTGGACATTATTATACCCGAGCGCACTTGTCCACAATAGCTTTGTTCACATAACGTTTGTTTGTAACAGACAAAACGAATCGAGATAGACGTAGACAAATGTATACATAAATGATCAGAATGAAGAGAAATCGATTAAGCGGTGACTGTCTGTCCGTTCGTCCGTCCGTCTGTCCGTCTGTGCACACGATAACTCGAGTAAAAATTGAGATATTTTAACGAAACTTGGTACGTGCACTTCTTTCCGGCGTAGGACGGATAGTATTGAAAATGGGCAAAATCGGACAATAACCACGCCTACCTCCCATATACCGGTAATTTTCAGAAACGCGAAAACTGCGATATTTTAGTAACTACTGAAGGTTATTTTCGGAACATGGGCGTAACCACGCCCACTTATAGTTACATGTGTATATATTGGTAACTGCTTCACCAATTTCTTCCAAACTGGCACAGTTGTTGGCCTTGGTACAATATACCAAATGGCCGAAAATTTTTAAAATCGGACAGTAACCACGCCCACATCCCATCAAACGGTAATTTAGAGAAATTCGAAATATTCGATAAATCAGTAAATATTAAAGCTAATTTATTGAAAATTGATGCTTGCAAAAATTCTTTACCACGAAATATGTTTATGTTAAAATCACATATTTGTATCTCGGTAACCGTTCTACCAATTTTTCCAACCTCGGTATGGTTATTGTTCTTGCCGCATAAAAGCAAAGCGTTAAAAATAATTGAAATCGGACTAAAATTACGGCCGCTTTTATTATAACGGTAATTTCAGAAATGCTTGAAACTTCAACATTTCGAAATTTAAGGACGCTAATTTACTCAAAACTAATACTGATACTAAAAACAATCCCTTGAAAAGAAGTAACATTGTTTGGAATTTTGGAAAATGGGCGTGACGCATACGACTATATACATTTATCCCATTATGTCTAACTGAACGTTCTATCGAAGATGTTTAAAATATAGTGGTAAAACCACCCCGGCTTACCATGTAGCGGTAGTTTTCGGAAAGGTGGAAAGCATATATTTAATACTTGCGCCGGGTATTTAATGTTCGGCTCTGCCCGAACGTAGACTTTCTTACTTGTTATACATATATAAAATGTTTCGTCCGAAAAATGCCTTTTTAGACTTTCGAGATGATTTTACATTACTAGAGTTCACTCTTTAAAGCAAAACTGTGTGTGTTTCAGCGGAGTGTGAAAATGTGAAATATTCTACAGTTTTTTACAACAAACATATGGCAAAGTTTCGCACTTTTAGTTTCGCGCAAACGCACAGATGAAACGAGAAAACTGTGCTGTGCTGTTCGTACATCGCTTCGGCAGTTAAAGCGACAGCACAAACGGAGAGCAACAAATATTTGAGACCGCGCTGCGTCTAAACTGTTTGAAATTTCGCATCCAAAGTTACAAGACGGTTCACGCTTTTCTACAAAACAAAGCGCTTATTTTTGCCTTTCGCAATTTCGCATCAAAGAGTGAACTCTAGTATTATGTTTGCTACATCTACCAGCAAATGTAGCTGAAGGCAAGGATATTGTTAATTTCGTAACATCCAGTGGACGTCAACAAAAATACAAAGCGCATCCTGTGAGCCTTTATCACTTCCTGGAAAAAATTTCCTTCCCTCCACAGTATCGGGGTTCAAG